TGGACATAGCTGTGGTTTTTTTTTTTTTCATGTTATGGTGGGTCTAGGCTGGCCATGGCTGTTTTTTTTCTTTTTTCTTTTTGTTTTTTCTACTCTAGTGGTGGTTGTTTTGGTGTGGTTGTGATGGTTATGGTGGTATCTAGGTTAGCAGAGTATTTCAAAATTTTATTTTTATTTATTTTTTATTGTGGTGGTGGTGGTGGTAGTTCTGGTAACGTCTAGGTGTGTTGGTAGTGTTATCTTAGTGTGGTGGTGATTCTGGTGGCATTTGGGATGTCATGGTTGTTTTTAATTTTTCTTTCTACTGTGGTGTTTGAGTGTGGTGGTGGTGGTTATGGTGGTATACAGTTATTTAGTTATTAAAAAATAATAATAATTTATTTTTTATTTTTTATTTTTATGCTGTGGTGATGGTTAAGGTGGTGGTATAAGTATTGTCATATATAAACTATATATACATGTATGGAAGAGATGAAGAGGTTAATTTGGTCTATTAAATTTAGTAGGAGGTTAAATATATAATTTCATAATTTAAATAGAATTGTTGACAAGTCAAATGATTAAAAGGTAATTTATATGGTTTTAAAAATCTGGAGGAGGTGCCAATGCACATTTTTAAAACTTTAGGGGTGTCAATATAAAAAAAGTTATTGACCATCTCGCTGAATGGCATTGACCGAGACTTCAGGGGGGTATCAGTACAATTTATCCTTATTTTTTTTCCCCAAGTATAAAATTGGTGTAATCCTATCTCTGCCCAAATAAACTCTGACCTGGATGAAAGTGGAATTCTATAACTAATTAAAAACTTTAATATAATTAAAAATATTAATCTTTGAATTTTCCATTGTTCTTTTTAGACTAACGAAGTCCCTAACTAAAAAGTTTTTCAACTTTTTACCTAAGATTTAACTGCATGCATATTCTTTACTGATATTGTGAACCCTTCAATTCCTTAAATATCCTTTTATAAATAGGAATATTGATTGTACAAAAAGCCAAAATAAATAAATAAATTGAAAAAATGAGTGTCATATATTCTCTTTTTAGCACTTACATTCTTTTCTTATTGGTATCAGTACTTGTAACACAGCGATTGTCACCTTTGTCAGGTTGCAGTGCAGAGAGATGATAAATGATGGAATTGAAAAAAAAAAAAAAAAAAACTGAGTTGATAATTGATGGACAAAAGCTTGCTTCTCCCTCCACCTATTCAGTGATTCAGTCAAAATTGCCAAAGATGTAGCGTTCAACTTTTACTCTGCATATTTATACTTAACTGTCTATGTTTATATATATACATATATATATGTATATATATATGGATTGTACATATATCTATTAACACTGCCAAATACCTCCAATGTATGTATACATATACACATATATGTGCCCTGTCTTGTGTCTGGTACTGGGTTCTGAACAGGATGCTTACCCTGCCTGAGTTAGTGCTGGAACTAGAATAGACTCCTCATATACATATACATATACATATACATACAAATAGTGCCAAGGCCACTGCGGTTGTGAAGCATGCCATCAGCCATCTCTGTGTCATTTTGTACAATGTGTACGTAGCTTTTCCTGGTTTAAAAATTGGTGTACACTCAATGGATCAATAATATTTACACAAAAATTTTACATTATTTTATAATTGATTTAGTATTAATTTTTGAGGTAAAATCATAAAACCCCTGTATTATTCCAAATAATCATTATCAGACAACTAGAGTACTAACAAAAGTGATACTTTACCCCCTTTTAGTGATGAATCTGTTAGTTAATTATGTTGTGAAATGACAAAATTGATTTTAATATTTTAATTTTAATTTAAAATTGATTCTTTATAACAGGTTGTACTAGCAATATCCTTCTTCCCTAATCAATTATCACAAACCCAATTTCTTCTTCCTCAACACTATCCAAAATTTTCACCCAAGAAAACCCTAGAAATTGTAGTTCAGAGCTCCTAAATCTCAGTCACACTCACAAACCCTAACATCTCGACCTTTCCTCTTCTCTTCACTAAGCACTGAAGACCTTTCCTCAGTCACAATCTCGATTTTACACTTAGAAACTTTAATTACCAATATAAGACGTATATAGAATGAGGGTATTGATAGTATTTTTCAATTTTAATTTTATTTGTCTTTTTTAAAATGTTAATTATAATGGGCATTTTTGTAAATGTACAATGACGGTGACCGAAAATGAGCTGGAAAGGACTGCCAGGGGGTCAAACTGCACATTTCTGATAGTTGTAGTACTGACTTGCTCGATTTTGTAATCCAATGGGGTAAAATGCTGATTTTTGATAGTTGAAGGGGTTTTATGCTTTTTGGGCTATATATTATATAAACCCAAACCCATTTTGCAATTTTTTATTTTTTAAAGGCAAATCAAACCCATTTTGCTTTCTATTTGTATAAGGAAGTGACGGGGGTGTACCACTTTTTGAGGGGCAAAAATGAAACTTGTCAATACACAATATCTTTTATTTTTTAAAATTAAAAATAAATACTATAATTTTAAGGTTTAAAATGTAAATTTATATTGATTCCTTGTGGTCAAACGGTCAATATAAATCTTTTTGTAATATTACTATAACTTCTATCTATATGCACAATATAAAAACCTCAAGGGTGATATGTGTAATTTGCCCTAAATTTTTTATATTAATGGCCACCAGGTGCCTTTAACCTTTTACTCTATTGAAAAATGATAGGTCTTCCGACCTTAATTACCGACTCTTCCTTCGAATATAACGTGGTTGGATTCCATTGGAACTCTTAAAAAAATTTCTGTAAACATCTTTTTCTAACCACGTTATATTCGGAAGAAGAGTCGGCAATTAAGATCGGAAGATCTATCACTTATCTTACTCTATCATGACTAACGACCGCAATATTAACACAGTAATAATTTTTTTTTTCCCCTCGCGTCTGCAAAAGTACTACCTAATCAATAATTTTTTATCTTGCATAGTAATAATTTGGGAGCCATATATAAACTTTATGATTTAAAAATTAAAAGAAGGGGGACTGTAATTCTAATTCGTGAAAGACCCATCCAAAGAAGAAGAAGAAATCACGTTTGATCCTCATCAAGTTTGTCTATTTCCACGGTTCCACCCCTTGAGTTAGGGTTTTAATTTGTCACAGTCAGGGCTTATATTCTCTACAATCTGCTATGTGAGGGCAAGACCATTGTAATCATACAGTTTTATTTATTTTTAAAAAATTATAATATCTTACTAATTTAATGGACCTTGTTCAGTTGATTGGAAAAATTCATAATATAAATTTTAGCAGTTATATTTTGATTGATTTTGTAGAGCCTTAGAAAAGAATTTAAAAAGTGAGTTTACTAATAAAAAAAGATCAAGTCCCCCCAACTTTTGAATTTCTTGTACATTATCTCAATATGTTATCATTATTTTTCTTTCTCTCTCCAGAGCAATGATCGACAAACTAAAAATACTAATGACCAAACCCATTGTAGTGTTGATGGAGATGTTGCATCTTCTGATGATATCAGTAAAAGGACCAAATTCATGACCCTCCTCAACTATTTGATGGAGGTTATTTAACTAACGAAAATTAGCTGAAAGGGAGCTGTTTGGATATGTAGTTTATCATATATTTTTTTTAGACAAAAATGTCCTTATACCTATTTTAATATACTCTCACATATATATCTACTCCATTATTATTCTTAGCCGCATATCTTCCACCATTGCAACAACACATACTCTTCCATCATTATAATATTATATATAATTTGTATCATAATATAATTATATATATAATATGTACCATTAAATATTATTTATACTATATTTCCATTTCCATCCAGCCTTCAAACCAATATAAATCTAGGTTTTTTTCTTGAAATTTCTCCACTATATATATATTTATTTATTTGAGAATTATATTGTACATTCATTTATTTGGTTTTTATTGATTTTCATTTTATATAGATTTATTAAAGGTACACTAAGAGAAATAATGCCTAATTTTTTTTCTTTTTTATATTAATATTTATGCATACATGTTTTCTTCTTCTTCTTTTTATTTTTTATTTTTTTACATATAAATTTCAATATCATTTTTTCTATAAAAAAAATAAAAAATTCCTTCCATGTGACTAATTTGAACTTGTCAACTAGTAAAATGTTAACACAAAAAAAAAAACAATAGGAGTGTTAATTTCTGTGAATGATGTTGTTTAGATTATTTAATAAATAAAATAACAAGAAGCAAAGTAGATTTTCAAATAGGCTTTAATGGATATTTAAATCAATTTATATTTCAGTTCTCTTTCAACTAACTTCCGTTAGTTAAATCACCCCCATAAATAGTTGATGGGGTTTTTTTTGGCAAAAAATAATAGAAAAGGGAGTTTAATGAAAAACACAGATAGAAAAAGGGGGTTTAATGTAGTTCACTCAAAAAAAATAAAAAAAAATAAAAATTCATAGAGAAGGTGTTACTTTAGTCTTTAGTAATATATGATCTATCAATCATGTTTTATAGGATGGATTTCAAAAGGTCAAAATAATGAGCGGTAGTTTCTTGAAGCCAATATTGAAAAGTTGAAATATTTATGGAGACAAGCATGCATCTCAGTATAAATACATGACATGAGTTTCTTTTAATAGAGTCAATTAGTTGTGTACTTCCGATCCAATTAAGGGGTAATCTTTGTTTTCCGAAAAAAAAAAAAAAAAAAACAAAACTAGTGATAGTCTTTGGCGTATATATATATATATATCTTCAATTCAATTATGAGCCTAGTTATAGTTAATAAATTATCTATATATTGTTCAGGTTAATATGCTCAAGGAATATGCTGAATGCGAGTGTTAAAACTGAAGCAATTGTATTATGTGAAAACTATTGTGTTATTATTATGTGAAAACCAAAAGTACATACCCAACCCATTTATTTTAGTGCAGAATATGATATCGGCTTATTTTACAAACCAATCATTATTTTGGTCTAATTGTTGTGAAACCAGAACTGGGATTGAAGTTGGTCAATAACCTTCTTGTCCACTTGGAAAGCCTTGGTGAGAACATCAACAGAAATGGGTGGGTTCGATCCAAAGACTGCGTTAGCAATGGTGATAACTCCCGGGTTTTGGCTGCTCAGGCCGGAAAAAGATACTGCATTAGTCTTTCCCACGTTGAATTGGAAATGAATGAGACCAATTGGGAACACAAAAACATCTCCAGGATTCAGGACCTTGGTGAAGAGACGATTTTTTTCACCATTAATATTGGAGGTCACAAACCCTACATACAGAGTGCCCTCAACCACAACCAGTACTTCAGTTGCGCGTGGGTGCGTGTGGGGTGCGACCACGCCCTTGGGTGCAAAGTCAATGCGCGCTAAGGATACACCAAGAGTGTTGAGTCCTGGTAGCATATCAACAGTCACGGCTGTCACATTTGACCCAAATGGATTGTTTGTGTTTCCAGGAATATTAAGCCCTGGTAAGAAGAAATCTTCGGCTTTGGCAAGCTTTGGGTCCTTGCAGAATTTCCCATTCACAAACAGTGCACCCAAAACAATAGCAGCCGTTACATTAATTGAGCTCCAACATGCAATGAAATATATGGACTATATGCATGCATGAGAAAGCAAAAAATAAGACTAGGGGATGCATATAAATACATACATATACATATACATATATATATATATATATATATATATATATATCAGCGGACTTCATATCATCAATAGCAACACAGAAGTCCTGGAGAGGGCTTGGGTCAAATGCATATGAAAGTGAGAATTGAAGGGCCAAGATGGCTACAAGGAAGTGAATGGCGGCCATCTTAATTTGGAGTGAATAATATATATATATATATATATATATATATATATATATATTGTTTGTAGGATTGGTAATTGGGTGAGAGAGGTGAGAAATGTAGCATGGCAAAGGTGGTATTTATAGATAAGATTAGGAGGACTTGTCTTTGAGTGAGTACTACTAGTTCATATTTTTTAATTTCATGGTGGAGTAATTCTCCAACTACTACGTATGTCATCCCCACACCACTGACTCTTTTAAATATATTGAGTCGGTCATTTTTTTCATATCACACTTTCCACCTTGCTGTTTCTCCTTCTTCTAGATTCATGTTCATTTTAACCCCTGAGGAGGTAAATGAGAGTGTTGGATGGAGCTAAACCATGCCTCAAAATTCCAAGCCATTTACCTTTTCAATAATTACTATCATTATGTTTGAAGTTATAATTTTAACAAATCAGTAAAAAAAATTCAGAGAGGATAGAGAAAGAATAATATCAGCTATGAAAAAAAAAACAAAACAACATGTATTGATGGTTACTTTAGGCATTATGAAAGTGTCACTTAAGTTGCTCCTTTCACTCGATTTTAACACTTTTGATAGAAAAACAAAGCAGAAAATAAGAATCACTATCCCTCTCCTTTTTTTTCTTTTCATTTCAATTCCATCAATCCAAAACAAAGCCTAACAGTTAGATAAGATAAAAGTACCTTCAAAGAAAAAGAAAAAAAAAAAGAAAAAGAAAAGATAGACATAAATTTTTTTATTAAAGGTATATTTTTTGTTTAAGTATATTTTTGTCTAATTAGATTTTATTTTATTCAAAAACTCGTAATAAATAGATAATGTGATAGAGTTTTATAGAAAATAAAACAGTTAATTTGTAATAGATTTTATATAAATTTTTTTATTTTCTTTACATATATTCTTGTTTAATTATATTTTCTTTTATTAAAAAAATTCATAATAAATAGATAAATAGGTAGTATGTGTTAGAGTTTTATAGAAAATCTTTTAAAAACTCTTTTTATATGAATTAATAAATATTTTTATATATTAATAATTCTTGTCTAATTAGATTACCTTTTATTAAAAAAGCTCATAATAAAAGGTAATTTGTGGTAGAGTTTTAGAAAAATTATTTTACTTTTTATATCAATTAAAAAATATTTTTTACATTAATGATTATTGTCTAATTAGATTTTCTTTTATTAAAAAACACATAATAAATAAATAAATAGGTAATTTGTGTTACAGTTTAATAAAAACACATTTAAAAACTCTTTTTATATCAATTATAAAATGTTTTTTTATATTAATAATTCTTGTTTAATTAGAGATCCTTTTATTAAAAAAAAACTCACAATAAATAGATAAATATGTAATTTGTGTTACAGTTTTATAAAAACTCTTTTAAAACCACTTTTCATATCAATTAATAAATAATTTTTTATTAATAATACTTGTCTAATTAGATTTCCTTTTATTAAAAAACTCATAATAAATAGATAAATAGGTAATTTGTGTTATAATTTTATAGAAACTCATTAAATATATCTTTGTCTAATGTGATAGGGTTTTATTGAAAATAAAATAGGTAATTTATGATACAATTTTATAGAAATTATTTTACTTTCTTTAAATATATCCTTATCAAATTAGATTTAATTTTATTAATAAACTCATAATAAAAGCTAATTTGTGGTAGAGTTTTAGAAAAATTATTTTATTATATATATCAATGAATAAATATTTTTTATATTTTTGTCTAATTAGATTTTCTTTTATTAAAAAATTCATAAAAATAAATAGATAAATAGGTTAATTTGAATTTTATTAGGTAGATTTTAGAGTTTTATAGAGGTTTTTTTTTTATAAAAACTCTTTTCTGATCAATTAATAAATATTTTTATATAAATAAATAAATACTAAAACTTTTTAAATATTTAATAATAGTATAGATATTTTACTCTGAAATACTGGGTCTTTGCCCCTTTGAGTTTCTTTCTGAAATTCTGAATTTCTAGAATTCTCAATTTCTGAACCCCTTCCTACATGCCTCTATTTATAGGCTTCTTCGATTAATAGAATGATGACATGTGGCCTCTCCTGATAATAATATAATCATAACTGGGTCGGGCCGGTTATATTGTGATAATTATCCATAAAAAATAACTATTCTTTTTATATCAATTAATAAATATTTTATTGTGATTGATTTTATATGATAATTTTTAGAGTTTTATAAAAACTATTTTTATAAAAACATTTTTATATCAATTAATAAATATTTTATAATAAATAGTTTAATAGAAACTCTTTTATTAAAAAAACTCATAAATAGATAAATAAGTAATTTGTGTTACAATTTTATAAAAACAATTTAAATATATTTTTGTCTAGTGTGATAGAGTTTATTAAAAATAAAATAGGTAATTTGTGATAGAATTTTATAGAAATTATTTTATTTTCTTTAAATATATCATTGTCTAATTAGATTTAATTTTATTAAGAAACTCATAATAAAGCTAATTTGTGGTAGAGTTTTAGAAAAATTATTTTATTTTATATATCAATAAATAAATATTTTTTATACTCATAATTTTTGTCCAATTAGATTTTTTTTATTTAAAAATTCATAACAATAAATACTCTTTTTATATCAATTAATAAATATTTTTTATATCAATAATTTATGTCTAATTAGATTTCCTTTTATTAAAAAACTCATAATAAAAAGATAAACAGGTAATTTGTGTTAGAGTTTTATAGAAATTCTTTTAATATCAATTAATAAATAATTTTTTATATTAATAATAATTGTCTAATTAGATTTCCTTTTATTAAAAAAATTCATAATAAATAGATAAATAGGTAACTTGTATTAGAGTTTTATAGAAACTCTTTAAATATATCTTTGTATAGTGTGATAGAGTTTTATTGAAAATAAAATAGGTAATTTGTGATAGAATTTTATAGAAATTATTTTATTTTCTTTAAATCTATCCTTGTCTAATTAAATTTAATTTTATCAAGAAACTCATAATAAAAGCTAATTTGTGGTAGAGTTTTAAAAAAATTATTTTATTTTATATATCAATTAATAAATATTTTTTATATTATTAATTCTTTTCTAGTTAGATTTTTTTATTAAAAAATTCATAATAATAAATAGATAATAGGTTAATTTAAATTTTATTAGGTAGATTTTACAGTTTTATAGAGTTTTTTTTTATTATAAAAACTCTTTTCATATCAATTAATAAATATTTTTTATATAAATAAATAAATACTGAAACTCTTTGCACATTTAATAATAGCATAAATAAAAACTATTTTTATATCAATTAATAAATATTTTTTTATGTAAATAACTAAATACTTAAACTCTTTGGCAGATAATTCTAGATTTCTAGAATTCTCAATTTCTGTACCCCTTCCTCCTTCCTCCTTCCTCTATGCCTTTATTTATAGGCTTTTTGGATTAATAGAATGATGACATGTGTCCTCTCCTAATAATGACATAATCATAGCTGGGCTTGGCCGGACCGGTTATATTGTGATAATTATTCATAAAATATAACTATTCTTTTTATATCAATTAATAAATATTTTATTGTGATTGATTTTATTAGGTAATTTTTAGAGTTTTAAGGAAACTATTTTTATATCAATTAATAAATATTTTTATAAAAATAAATAAATACTGAAACTATTTGCACATTTAATAATAGTATAGGTGTTTGGGGGGCGAACTTTTATCAAAGTTATTTACTGATAACAAATAGTCCCTGAAAATAAATAAATAAAAAATAATAATAGTCCCTGATTAGCATGCTTGGTTGCATGTAAATAATGGATGCAACATCTAACCATAACACTCACTGTATATTAAGTAAAAAAAAAAACCTTCATTACGCGTGAATATTTATTTTGTAAGCCAAAAAAGTATGTTTGAAATGAATAAGAAATGTTATTCATAATAACGACTGACACGATCGTGAAATCTGGTCTAAGTAATAATTTGAGTTTCACTAAGATTAGTTTTTCACGATTACGACAAAATCAAAGAGCATAACATAGCATAATTAATATTTTCAACCTCAAATGATAGGGGGCAGAACCAGTTAGGTCAAATAACAAAGTAACTAATTAAGGGTTAAAATACAAAAATAGGAAACATTGAAAATTTATATTGCCACTCCAAGAAAAACCTGAAACACTCCTTGTGAATATTTTTGTTTGAAGAAGTCAAACTCTTATTGGTATTATTTTTTAGGTAAATTACAATAACACCCCTTGAACTTTTAGTTAATGTCACTCAAATACAAGTCAACGGCTTTTTTAACAATGGCACCCATGTAGTTTCAAATGTCATATTTGTCCCTGATTATTTAATTCAATTAATTTACAAAATGTCAGCCCCTATTAATTGACGAATCATTAGACCAGAATCATTAGACCTATTTCTCTACCCTAAACTCCATTTTTTTTTTTTTTAGCACCTAGCCGCCGACACTTCCTCTCTCTCTTCCCAATCTCTCTCATTCCTTTCTTTCTTACAATAAATATGTATATATATATATATATAGGGTAATTGCACCCCTCATCATTCTTCTCGCCAGTGGAGGAGTTACCTGTGGCCGATAGAGGGATACATAACTGGCAATGGATGAGATGGCGGCTAGGGCAAGTTAATTCACATAATTTAGGGGGAAAAGAAAAATGCACTATGTTAGTGTTAGATTTGTGATTGAGATGAGTAAAAGAAAGAAAGTGGGTCTGAGATAAGAGAAGAGAATTGATGGGAATGGTTAGATAAAAACAGCCATCGTTGTTTTTAATTTTTTTTCCTTTCTATTGTGGTGGCCGGTGTCTGGGTTGGACATGGTTGTGTTTTTTTTTTTTTTTTTAAGTTATGGTGGGTCTAGGCTAGCCATGGCTGTTTTTTCTTTTTTCTTTTTTTCTTTTTTCTACTCTAATGTTGGTTGTTTTGGTGTGGTTGTGATGGTTATGGTGGTGTTTAGATTAGCAGAGTGTTTCAAAATTTTATTTTTATTTATTTTTTATTGTGGTGGTGGTGGTGGTGGTGGTTCTGGTAACGTCTGGGTGTGTTAGTAGTATTGTCTTGGTGTGGTGGTGATTATGGCGGCATTTGGGATGTCAACATGGTTGTTTTCAAAATTTTTTTTTCTATTGTGGTGTTTGGGTGTTGTGGTGGTGGTTATGGTGGTATACAATTATCTGGCTATTCAAATAAATAATTATTTTTTTATTTTTTTATTTTTATGTTGTAGTGATGGTTAAGGTGGTGGTATAAGTATTGTTTTATATAAACTATATCTACATGTATGGAAGAGATGAAGAGGTTAGTTTGGTCTATTAAATTTACTAGGATGTTAAATTTATAATTTCATAATTTAAATGGAATTATTGACAAGTCAAACAGTTAAAAGGTAATTTTATATGATTTTAAAGATCTGGAGGAGGTGCCAATGCACATTTTTGAAACCTCACGGGTGTCAATATAAAAAAAAAGTTATTGACCATCCCGTTGAACAGCGTTGACCGAAACTTCAGTAGTATCAGTACAATTTATTCTTTTTTTTTTTCCCCCATGTATAAAATTGGTATAATCCTATCTTTACCCAAATAAACTCTGACCCGGATGAAAGTGGAATTCTACAACTAATTAAAAACTTTAATATAATTAAAAATATTAATCCTTGAATTTTTCATTGTTCCTTTTAGACTAGTGAAGTCCCTAACTAAAAAGTTTTTCAACTTTTTACATGAGATTTAACTGCATGCGTATTCTTTATTGATATAACTTTGTGAACCCTTCAATTCCTTAAATATCCTTTTATAAATGGTACAAACTGGTAGGAGTAGTATTTTAGAAAAGATGAGTTAGCTAAGACTATTGATTGTACAAAAGGCCAAAATAAATAAATAAATTGAAAAAATGAGTGTCATATAGTCTATTTTTAGCACTTACATTCTCTTCTTTATTGGTGTCAGTACTTGTAACACAGAGATTGTCACCTTTGTCTGGTTGCAGTGCAGAGAGATGATAAATGATGAAAAAAAAAAAAAACTGATTTGTTAATTGATGGACAAAAGCTTACTTCTCCCTCCACCTATTTAGTGATTCAGTCAAAATTGCCAGAGATGTAGCGTTCAACTTTTACTCAGCAGTGATACAATGCCAAATGATACCAACCTCAGATGCAAGGAAAGATAACTCCTCTCATCCTACATCAGTCTCAGAATCAATGAAGAGTAGACATACAGGCAAAAGTCGAGGATCCAATGGCTAAAGGATGGAGACTAGAACACTGCTTATTTCTACAAATCAATTGCATCTTGATGCAACAGGAACAAAATGACAGTTATCAAAGATACCAATGGTTCTTTACTGGAAACTGAAGCTGATATAAATTAGGAACTGATTGCTCATTTTCATACTGCCTTAGGGATGAATCACCATCCCTACCCAGGTATTGAATCACTTATACCTTTCATACAAGCTTCTGTCCCACCACATTTTTTCACATCATTGTGCTCCATTCCATCTAATGAAGAGATCCAAAACTGTATGCATTCACTAAGCAGTGATAAATCTCCTGGTCCTGATGGCTACAATGCTTTCTTTTTTAAGAAAGCATGGCGAATTATAGGCAGGGATGTCACCAAGGCAATCAGAGACTTCTTTGTCAATGGTAAACTTCTCAAACAAATCAACTCCACATACATTGCACTTATGCCAAAATCATCCAATCCCTCAACTCCCAATGACTTTAGACCAATATCTTATTGTAATACCATTTACAAATGTATATCCAAACTCTTAGCCAACAAGATTAAACCAATCTTACCCCACATCATTGGTCCTGCACAATATGCTTTTATTCAAGGCAGGCAAATTGATGATAACATCCTTCTTGCCCAAGAGCTACTCAATGGTTACCATAAGCAAACCAACTCTCCTAAATGTGCACTCAATATTGATTTAAGGAAAGCTTTTGATACTGTCTCTTGGGAATTCCTACTGGACTCTCTCAAACTTTTTGGATTTCCTCTTACATTCTTGCAATAGATTCATATTTGTGTATCAACACCATCCTTTTTTATTTCCATCAATGGGGAACTCAATGGCCACTTCAAGAGTATCAAAGGACTGAGACAAGGAGACCCCCTCTCACCATTCCTTTTTGTCATAGTCATGCAAGTCTTTTCCCTCATTGTCATGCAAGTTTTTTCCCTCATTGTCACTAAAATCACCAAAGAAATACCATTCAAGCACCATTGGAGATGCAAAAAGCTAAACCTTACCCACCTAATCTTTGCAGATGATCTCATGCTTTTTTCTCATGGAAGTATCCAATCTCTTCAAACCATCAAGCACTGCCTAGAAACATTCTCTTCTATCTCTGGTTTACAAATTAACCATGGGAAAAGCAACGTTTTCCTTACTGGCATTCCTGTTAATTTAGAGGCTCACATCCTTGATCTCTTTGGTTTCCAAAAGGGTGATCTGCCAATAAAATACCTTGGTGTTCCTCTTATAACTACCATGCTGAAGGCTACTGATTACAGGGTTTTTATTAACAAAATAACCTCAAGAATCAGCCACTGGACAAGCAAAAACCTTTCTTCTGCAGGTAAATTCAACTGATCAAGGCTGTGCTTTTTTCAACACAGATGTATTGGAGTTCGAAATTTGTTCTTCCAATGAGCATCATTCATGAATTAGAGGGCATTTTCAGATCCTTCTTATGGACTGGCCCAGCTCTTAAAAAGATTGGTGGGAAAGTTATTTGAGAGAAATGTTGTCTTCCTAAGAGGTTAGGGGGTCTTGGGCTGCCTAACCTAGCTTCTTGGAATGAAATTGCCATCATGAAACACTTTTGGAGAATTAACAGTTCAAAAGAAATGCTATAGGTATAATGAATTGAAACCTACTTACTTAAAGGAAGAAGTATTTGGGAGGTGAAGATACCTGGGCAATGTTCTTAGAGTTGGAGGAAGATTTTGAGCCTCAGGGAGAAAATCAAGCCTCTTATCAATTTGAAAATTGGAGATGGAAGAAACAAATTTTTGTTTTGATAATTGGTGCCTTCTTGAGCCCCTTCACCTCCTTGTCTCCCCATAACAAATTAATGAGTCAGGGTATGACAGTAAGACAAAGCTTTGCTCATTCATCACAGCCTCCACATAGTCTTTCCCAAGTGCTATAACTTATTTACTTCCCCAATTGCAGTGTTTTTCCACTCTTCTATCCCCCAACCATCATAGGAAAGACAAGTTCATTTGCGGTCCATCCCCCACAGGCAACTTCTTAATTGCTTCAACTCTGAAACACCAATTCCACCAAATTCCCTCCCTACCTTGGGCAAATTTGATATGGTCCAATGCCTCTATTCCAATGCATAACTTCACTCTTTGGGTAGCAATTCAAAACAAACTCCCAACACTAAATAGGAGATGTATCACGCCCCGGATTTTCTAATAAAATCCCAGATTTATATGAGTCCAAATCCATCAAAATACACCTAGGATCATAAAAAAATGCTCTCTTTTTATACAAAGTCAATTTCCTTAAATATATACAAAATTCTCCAATTAAATAAAATAAATCCTCCACGCCAACTCTTCAGCCTAAGCCCAAATCTACGATCCTCGTCCATCTTCAGTACCTGAAACTGGAGGGTGGTGAGACAAAAAATCCCAGTAAGAAAAACCATAACAAGAATTTCATGGAGGTTTAATAAAACAGCTTCACAAAATATACATAGTCATATGAGTATATAAGCAAAATACATATGCATTTAATTAAAATATTTAATCAAAACATTTAATCAAAACCATTAAAGCAAAACCACTCCAAGCCATTCAAGGAATAGAAAACCCTACACTGAAAAAGAATAATTCTCCACTGAATCATTAAATCTTCAAGCTCTGACCTACTCTGCAACTCTCGGCTCCTCTGTCTTTCCTCAAACTCTCTGTCTGACTTCACTCTATTTTTCTCTCTCAAACTCACTGTCTTTCTTCAAAACTCGCTCTCTGTTTCTCTCTCTTTCTCTATCTCGGCTCTCCCTTCTACCTTCTCTAATTTTTCTCTTTTGCTTTCCGCATGCAAACCCAAACTCATATATCTTATTTAAAGGCCATTCCACCAACAAACCCACGTGGAGCTCACTGCTCACATTATCTTTACAATTCTTTTCATCTCATTTCCCCTCCATCAAACAATCACGTGAAGGAACCAAATTCAAAGAACATTTTGCCCAAAAATCCAAGTGGGTCCCACCCACATTATTACAATTTCACTCTCTTGTCTCTTCGGCCAACCTGCTGCCCTATTTCTTTATCACTTTCTCAACTTCACCCATCAGCATAATATATATATATATATATATATACACACACACACAATGTCCAATGGGACCCGCACCAAAATTATTACAGCCTTTCTTTTCTTTCATCAGATCAGCCCACGTGAATAAACCTAATTCACTGCATAAATGGCATCAAGTGGCGGACCCCACAAGAACTCATTATCATTCCTTTATCCCATTTTTCTTCACTCTCTCGGCTGCCAACTGGTTCCCCACCAACATTATATAAATATACATATATATATAATATGTAACAAAAACATTAATTCAATCCATTAAATATCTCTTTAGTAGACCCCACCAAAAATCACATCCATTTTTATTTTTCTTTTCAGACAAAACATAGATATAAAAATAACTACTTTTTAAAAAAAAAATAATAATAACAAGAATAATAATATAAATTAAAATATAAAAATCCACGTTATCACAAGCTCCACCACTTAAAAAGAATTTCGTCCCCAAAATTCAGATCCAACAGTCCACGTATACTCGAAAACACCAATAACCACCAAAACCAAACCACAAATCCCTACCCCAGGCGATGTGAAATACAGTGATATGTAAGACGTTGTGGTAGCTGACAGTGCTAGTCACCCGACCACATACTCCGTAACCGTTGTGGTAGCTAGTCGATGCGTCACCCGCCCACTCACTAAAAAAATAACAAAAAATTTGGGCTACCTACCCAACCACACAAACCAACCATCCCAGTAGCTGCCAGTGACCGCCATCCGCCCACACACACCCGGCTACGAGTGGTAGCTAACCAGTACTACACACTCGACCACTCACACCTGTCTACATCATCACTACACTCACACTTCCAACTGGGTACAAGCTCTGATACCATTTTGTCATGCCCCGGATTTTCTAATAAAATCCTCGATTTATATGAGTCCAAATATATCAAAATACACTCAGGATCATAAAAAAAATACTCTCTTTTTATACAAAGTCAATTTCCTCAAATATGTACAAAATTCTCCAATTAAATAAAATAAATCCTCCACGCCAACTCTTCAGCCTAAGCCCGAATCTACGATCCCCGTCCATCTTCGGTACTTGAAACTGGAGGATGGTGAGACAAAAAGTCCCAGTAGGAAAAACCATAACAAGGATTTCATAAAGGTTTAATAAAACAGTTTCACAAAATATACATAGTCATGTGAGTATATAAGCAAAATACATATGAATTTAATTAAAACATTTAATCAAAACCATTAAAGCAAAACCACTCCAAGTCATTCAAGGTATAGAAAACCCTACACTGAAAAAGAATCAGTTTCCACTTAATCATCAAATCTTCAAGCTCCGACCTCCTCTTCAACTCTCGGCTCCTCTGTCTTTCCTCAAACTCTCTGTCTGACTTCACTCTAATTTTCTCTCTCAAACTCACTCTGTCTTTCTTCAAAACTCGTTCTCTGTTTCTCTCTCTCTCTCTGTCTCGGCTCTCTCTTCTAACTAATTTAATATTTATATTATGTGAGTGTTAGTAGCTACCAAAGTGGCCTAACCATAATAATCGATGACTATTAATTTTAGTAATAAATATAACTTAATGATGAATTAATTTCTGTCTAATTTAATATTCATATTATGTGAAGATTGGTAGCTACCAAAGTGACCCAATCATACTATGTGAAGATTGGTAGCTATCAAAGTGGCCCAATCATATTATGTGAAGATTGGTAGTTACTAAAATGACCCAATCATAGTGATTAATAAATATTAATTTTTGTAGTAGATATAATTAATCATAAATTAGTTACTATCTAATTTAATATTCATATTATGTAAAGGTTAGCAACTACCAAAGGACTTAACCATAATGGTTAATGAATATTAATTTTAATAGTGTAATATTTCATAAATTATAATGCTTATTATTTTTTGTAAATATTGAGTATGTATTTACTAATAATAAATGAACATATTTTATTTTAATTAACACTATTTTTTATTTGATAAATAAGTATGTATTCATTTATTATTCATCCATAGCAATCAATGGTGGCAGGACATTGTAAATCCCACAAGGAAGGACGCAAGTATTGTCCCTCCTCAATATAGGTTTCCAAATTGGATTTGGATTAATTTTGGTTGATATATTTTGATTTAGCCCACCCCATTGAGAAATCCTGGATGTTTTGTTTCACATAGAAATACAATCTGTGTAATGTACGAAGGATATATTCAATCTTTCTACCATATTTTTATTTTCAAATTTTGGTTTTTGATTTTCTTTTGTTATTAGTATACAGAATATCAGGATATTGATTTGTTAATTTTGAAGATTATTCCTAAACTGATGCATTGTACTTTGTTATTGAATTAATTTAACATAAGAGTTGAGTATAATATGTGCTAATCACACCTATCCGTAATCACACCTCTTTCTACGGATAGGTGTTCAACATTTTGACTAAAAGTATAGTTGAGTTGGGTTAATACATGATACAGATAGTACTTAGATGGTGGTGTTTTAATTGTTATGAGTGAGATTGTGAAACCTCTTCCTCACAACTTGAGTGTTTTCTTATTTTTTAGGGTTAGCACTGGGTCTTAACATTTAGCAAGAACAAGGTTCAAGAAACATTCTTCATCAGTCATCAGGTAACAAACTCTTACTTTTTCTAAAATTTTAATTGGCATTTTTAGCTATTAGTTAGGTTTATTTATTCATGTTTTACATATTGATTTTTTTTTTTTTTTTTTTGTTTCTACATACATATATATAATATTGTTATGATGTGATGCTCAACTAATTTATTAATGGGAATTAAAGACTTGGAAATTTAGTTTTCAATTTCAGAATATATTAAAACTTTTCCTCTTTTGTCCTAATAATATAGGTCTCTTTTACGAAAGAAGAGGGTTGATGGGAGTGGGTGGAATAGGGAAAAAGAAAATTCTGGATCCGCCCTTGGGTGTGTATTGGTGATCAACAATACGTGGCCATATTTGTGGTTGAAGTTTCTGATGATCTATAGTGTCTAATTACCCTCACTTCCACAATCTGCCCACTAAACGTCAGTGGACTCTACAGTGACTTGATCCTCAATTCTTGCTTTGTCAAGAAGGAAGTTCATATGTGTTTGAGAAGAGCCTCTTCATCTCAGTACAATAATACCCTAAAAAGAAAGAGAGTTTTTCCAAATATTTCAAAGGAGAGAAAGAAAATGAGATTGATGAAGATGGTGGAGAAGGAGAAACCATAATTGCCGATCACGATTAAGAATCCGCGGGAGGCGAGGGGAGTAATTTACATGGTTTGCCAATTGAAAAGTTCTTCTGTTTACTCTGCTGCGATTTTTAAATTAGTGATGGATATGGACGAAGTAAACGCTGAACGTCGATTTGAAATGTTTAATTGGAGGAAGTATTTGGGCTATGAATCTTCTCCATGTTTAGGATCAGTGTCATGTGGTATGTTTAATCGGAGGAAGTATTGCTTTAATAAGTGGTAATAGGAATAGTCTTGGAAAAGACATTATTGTTAGATCATTATTGATACTTCTCATTTATAGACTATGTTGAATAGGTTACTAGTATTGTGGTACATGGAAGGGACTGTGTCATTTAGGGACATACAACTGCCATGACTCACATTGGTAGTTTGTTTACTATAGTATTTATGATGACCAACTTAATACCTTAATCTGATTTATGGTGCACACTAATGACTATTTTACTAAACCACTACAGAAATTATTATATGTGCCAAGTGGGAGAATGTAAAATTATTTATTTAATTGTGGCTCACATGATTTAGACATGTGACATATTACTTGGTAGCTAAGTAAATAGATATGAATTAATATTATTTATTTTTGGTCAACTTATAATTACATTTTTGGTAATTACTTATTGGAAAAGTGTTTTTCTTTCTTATTCCTTACTTTGATGGAAAGTAAAATTATGTTACTAAAACGAAAACTGGTCCTCTCTCTGCCTTTATAAAAGTGCATATACTCCATCAATTATGTATAATTAATGATACAACACGTAAAAGTTTTATGTGTGCAAAAGGCCAAGAGAGAGAAACCAGTTTCCACCTTTGCCTGTTGATCAGAGTGGCAGATTAGTTCGTGATTAAAGGATCTAGACGTTGGATTTAATCTCAACAATGTTTGATATCATGAATCGAGGTATTTATATCTAACCATTTATTTATGTATTATAGATATGTGAAAATCATGAAGTTCTAAAATATGAGATTCATGTAAATTTGTGATTAATGGCTTAACACGAATTATTATAGTTTACATGTGGTATCAGAGCTTATGGTTCGGGAACTCGTTATTTTCTTTTAAAGTTGCATAAATAATATGTATAAATTTAAACTATAATTTGTTTAGTTTATTTGTTTGGAATCGCCTCCACACATATGTATGTTTTAATTGTTGTTATAAATATGTCCCTGATGCATGCCACGACCCGGAAAGAATCAGCAATGTTTTTTGGTAGTAAAGAATTTTGACTTTTTATCTCGATTTTCGAGCGTAATGAATTTTGTGGAGGGTAACTTACTTTCACACGAGTTACTATAGATGTATATGAATGTCCATTAAAGATTTGATTGGTTAATAAATTTTGCCAAACATCTGATTAAATATGAATATTCTAATTTTATTATTATTTTAAAAATAATAATATTAATAAAATATTAAATACATCAAGTATGTGAATTTATATAAAATTTCTAGAATGATATGTGAGTCTAGAAATTTAATTAAATTTTTGTTAGACATAATGAATTATTGTTTTATACCCAAACATACATACATGATGGAGAATTAATTTTAGATTAATTCAATTATGATCTTTAAGTCTGAAAATAAAATAATATGTTTTATTATGTATATAAAATAAAAAGATATTTTCTATGAAATTTCGAACTATTAAGTTTTTGAGATCGAAATGGCTTAAATTCAATCGACAATTATGAGTATGTGTG